TGTTATTCGCTAGAGGAAATGCCGATCCATTTAGTCAGTTTATATCGAAGTACTAAGTGAAGCTTTTATTTGAGCATGTTTTAGCACTGGAAAAGGATATTCACTCTGTCAATGACAATCCGCAGTTTCCATGGATGACTCAGGAAATGGCAAGTCCTAGACGACACTATTAGGGGTGACGATTGCGCTTAAAATTACTTCCATTTGAGGTGTCATTCTGTCGCGGAAACAACTGTACTTCAAGGACCTATATGCTCATCGATGGCATTCAGTCGAAGGTTGAACGGTATTGGAGGTACCGTATAGCTGTTCTCCATGGTAGGAAATGTTCGACAATTACAAATCCTAGTTTTGCTATAAGATGGCTTCCGGGCAGTCTCCCCCCTCCCCCTCCAGTTGTCTATGCGAGACGCTTGTTAGTCTTTTACAATCAGCCTATCATTAATCAATTTTTTCACCAACTAAATTCGTGCGTAAGAGCGGCACGGAATTCATGTTGACAACTACCAAACGCTACCACTTAGTACACAATTGGAGTACATGCACTGTAGATTCCAAACAGAACTACGTTAACTTCCTATATAACCACTTCAGCAACAAACTATTTATGTGCAGCACTGCAGCGACTTTTAGTTACAGAAATTTGAGCTCAATTCACAACGGCGTCTTTCATATGTTGCAAGTTGTTTGTAAAGCATTGAAATCCTTGTGTGTTCATTAGTCTCAGTAGTCATACAGTGATGAGTATAGAGAAGTAGAAAAAATCATAATGTTTCGTTAACTCGTGATTGATCGGAGTTAATAACGTCCCCAAGTTGGACTTTGTTATTAGTCGGATCCCAAACATAGCAAATGTTTGCTTTTCTTAAAGAACTGTGCAAATAAATATTTAATTTTCTATATTGTATTAAGGAGTGGCACTTATTTTTGCGTGGTGGGTGCTCGGATCATCGGCAATTCTCATCGCCAGATTTTTCAAGCCGTTGTTTCCTCGAAAGAAACTGCTTGGCACTGCTGTCTGGTTTCAGGTACGATGAGCAGCTAATATTAGTGAGATCTCTATTCGTTGAACTTCAGCACTAACCATGTATTAGTAGCACATTATAATAGTTGTTAAAAACGTCCGTAAGAGGATTCTGCCACTAAATGACATTAGGCTATTTGATTTAACACATGAAGCTTATTTATGAAAAATTTTGAGATCCTTACGAATGGGAAAAAACGGTTCAACAGTTAATGTTGTTTCAGCTACATCGTGATCTAAACGTAATCGCGCTGATCCTCGAAGTACTTGCCGTCTTTTTCATTTTCTGGCAAGCAAGCTGGGTGTGGTACGAATGCTCATATAAATGTACTCTTGAGGTAAACGTGGTGTTTTGTGTATTTATGCACTCCAACAAAAACTAGGATTTTTGCAGTCTATTCAATTCATTTCCCTATGACTTGTCATTTAGGACTTTTCGAAGAAGATGCACGCCATCACAGGAATGATAGCAATGGTACTGGCACTATCTCAGCCATTCCTCGCCATGCTACGACCGTCGC